GTTTGAAATCCGTGTGCCGGGGGGGGAGGGATTGTAAACAAGATGTGTTTAAATGAGTTTATTGCAGGTGTAACCCTTACGGCTGCAGTAAGGGCCATCTCTAAGTAGCGTAAATCCCGTGAAAAAAAGAGCCATTCAATAAAACAGAACTTGAAAGTAAAGGTTTCTGGACGCCATAACAGTCTCGTCTTAAAATGGTGAACTATGCCAGTTATTGCAAAACAACCCTGCCCCAGCGCCTATCTCTGTTTACTGGCTTGTCAACAGCTGATAACTGGCTAACTCCTCCACTGTTAATGCCACTTACTAGTCGATATTATTTTAAAAACTTTATTAATAAGCAGAGAATACACACAAAGAACACTATCAAAGCACCCCGTAAGTTTTCATTTTAACTAGACAAAATTCTGTGAAAAACCACACAGGTCAGACAAGCAAAAAAACCCAAACCATATTTTACACTTCAGTCTTGCCTTAAAATAAGCTAGATGGGTAATGCATTCAGCTAAAGTAAATGTTTAGGAAAACACTGATTGTTAGGTTTAACTTCTGAACTTCAAGGACTTATTCAAAGTCATTTTCATGTTCTTAGGAAGTCAGGAAAGACTTGACCTGTGAAAACAAAAAAGCATATATATTTGCATTAGAAGCAAAACTGAATCATTAGATTTTTTTCCCCTTCCTTTCTTGGGAAACAAATAGTTTGTTATTGTTCATTCTCCAGTGCTGTTCTGCCTTTCCATCCAATTAATTCATGACCTGAAATGCGTTTAGTGTAGCAGATGGCTGTGAAACCAAGATTTTTTAAGTTAGTACTGGGTAGAATTGAGTAACTTGATTACTCAAAAATAGCAAGTACTTATGAAAGGCAGCTTCTGGAATGTTTTACAGAATGTTACTTCATTACCTCGCTGTACCCACCACCCCAGGCTGAAGGAGAGCTGACCTCGTGTGCTGGGTGGTGAAGGGGGTTCGGTGGAGACCACACTTGCAGTGGGCAAGTTAAAAGAAAGATGGCATGTGTGGTGTAGTCTGGTTCATAACTCTCCAAGCTGTTAACTGATAGTTTCCATAAGGATACAACTTAACAAATACCTCCAGAACTGAACACTGCAATCCCCTCCCCAGTTAATGCAGAGCTATTTAATTGGCTTGAAGGAATCATTCTTCAGCGATCTCAAATTGATGACCAAGAACAAAATGGAGAAAATGGTTTATATGGTTTGATAGGAGGGCACTTGTTTTTATCTTACAAGAGTAATCTTGTTGGGGCAATGGGGGAAAGTTAACGTGTCCCAGTGTGTGTGATTAATGTTACAGCTTGGGATGGAGGTGAGCCCCATGCCTTTTAAGTATTGGGATTTTTGGTTTGTTTTGGGTTTTATTTCTGTACACACAGCACATGGCTCCTGCAGAAGACTCTTTGGGCACTTTCCAAGTTTTGCCTTTTGGCAAAATTGGCAAACACCGTTTTGACTTAAGTGATGTATTTATTATTGCTTTGTTCCCTCAAATGGCTGTTGACTCTCCCTCCCAACTGTACTTCAGTGTCACCTCATGCATGTAGAGCTATGTACAAGGTTGTTATCCCTGTGTTTGTCAGATGTGTTGTGCTCTGTCCAGGAAGAGCCTAGATCCCTAGAATGCGAGGGGGCATAAATAGCTCTAAGCTGACTGCAGGATTTTTCTGAGGACATGATGGCTGACACGAATTGGACAGTATTGTTCTGTGAGCTGTTTAATGACCAGTACGGCAGTGCAGACGTGGCAGAGAGTGGTCTGACTACTCCAGCTGCTGTGTACTTGCATCCCCCCACAATTGCCCTTCTTTAAATGATTCATACTGTTTTGTTTGGGAAGGAAAATAAAACACCGTTCTGTAGCCATGTAGCTTCCTAAGTCTGTGAAGGAGACTGACTGTACTAGTCCCAAACAAGTACTTCATCACAAAGGTTAAGAATGTAAATTGATAACTTGGAGCATTACTGCACAGGAAGAGCAACTGAGGAAACATTATTTAATACTTACCTTATCAATCAGGTACTCCTGTTTAATCTTATCATTCTTGAAGTCTTCATTAACATCCAAAACTAGAATGGGCACCTCTCTAAGGTTCTCAAAATCAACTCTGTTAAATGGAAGAACATAATGCAAGTAAAAATGCTGTAACATCCTGTGTATAAAACAATATTGCTTTCCAAGTTGTCCTAAGGGTGCAGCATTTGTTACTCAGATTACCACGTGTACCTGAGATGTTAATACTGCTGCCCATGACTTAGGTATAAAGCCCAAGTCAAGCCTGTCCTTAATTGCTCTTGTGTAACCCAGTCAACATTGTATCACTGCAACTTTAATGTAAATCTGGCCTTTTAATATCTATTTTTACTGTACAACTAGGGAGGAAGGCTAGTTTAGGCTGCTTACCTTAATTTCCTTTACCTCATTCTTTGTTATGAAATCAATTAGAAGGAAGGTGATTTGGTAAGAGGGAGTGTGATACTTTAAAATAAAGTGTCACTTGCCCTCTTGTTTTCCCCACCCCTTTCTAGTTAACTGCTAATCCATTTACTACAGGTCTAAAGCTTCCTCTGGTGGGGATGACCTCTTTAGCAGGTTATAAGACTGGAATTTAAAATGGCTCAGAGATAAGAAGACCATTTTGGCTACTAGAAGCAGACAGGAGCAGAACTTGTGCAACTGGATGTATTGTTCTCTTAAAGCTGTAGTTATTCTCTTTCTACATGTGAAAAGCATTTCTAAAACACAGTAAGTGTGCTGAATAACATTCTTAACTTGTATTCACAGACTTAAGTGTTCCTATGAAAAACCACAGGAAATGCACACTCACAAGTTTGGAAGGAGCATGCAATGTAAACATTCCCAAAATTCCCCAGTATGCAGGGCTGTCTTGTCTTCCAAGTATTTAGGTCATCTTACATGAAACTTAAGAGAGTAGATGTGACCGGTAACATACTTTTCCTGGAATTGTTATGCTTCCCATTCAATAGAATATTTCAGGCTCCTCTAGGGGAAAATCTCAAGTCTGCTTTCACATTTAGAGACTGTTTAGGCGGGAAAGCCAGTGAAAGTCAGTAAGGACACTGGGGGGAAAAGTACGTAGAGATCACTTAGTTACTTGTGTGTAACAGTGCCTGCCAAAAGCCTTCTGATAGCGTTTATTTTGAAGCTATGATTAATATTTAAACTTTGGTGAAACAGTCATCCTAGTTTAAAGGTAGTTGGGACCTTGTCCTCCCTTACACTGGAACTGGATGCTGCTTAGTAGGTAACTTATGTGATTGGACACCGCTTCAACTATGCCCTATTCCCATCTACTTCCAGTTAACAAAATTAATATCCTTGCTGGAGTTAGAGCTACATAGCTTTCTAGTTGAAGCTAATGCTTAAAAAGGGCTGTAAATTAGATGAAGTTCTGTCTCTTGGGCAGTGATTTCCCTTTAGCATATAAGGTAGGAAAGAGCCTTGCCTGTAAGTTGAAAGTTGCCTACAGAAGATAGGTTCATACCTCATAGTCCTTTCATGAAGCCAGGTTTCATGTTTATAGTGGAGGCTTTCCAAATACTCAAGCTCAATTCCTTGCTCCTCTTCTCTTCCCCTCATCTGTAGCCTTTCCATGCATTTCTGAAAATAAAAAAAAGAAAAGCACAAACCTAGGCATTAACCATGCGTTGAAGGTTAAATCAGCTAAATAGATCAAGGGGTCCTTAAATCAAAAGGACTAATGCTAGACACTAGTAAGCATTAATTTTAAATGTTTGGCTGAATGAGTTAAATCTAGAATAACTTTTGTTTCAAAAAAAAACCCAACCCAAAACACAAAGTTGAGCCACTTTAGCAGATTGTCGTAATTTCCCATACAGTCCTGAATTGAAGTTAAGTCAAACTTTACTCAGAAGTTCAATTTCAGCCTTTGATCTTTACTGAGAGTGGCAGGTGCTGGTGACCACAGCATTCGCTGACATCAGAACAGCAGTTCAGAAGGGAGGGTTCTTAATTTGGTCTCTGAATGAAATCTGAATTTATGATAGGCTTCCCATTACATTGTAGGGGGGGAGCTAATTCAGTGTTAGTCACTGCATTCATTAGTGCATAGGTTTTTATATCCCCTTAAGTTTCGGAAACAAAAGCTGCAGCTGAAAACTGTGAACGTACCTGAGGTGTAGTTCTTAGGTAGATGATGCCATCCAGTTCTAGATCAGATTCAAACTGATTCAAAAGCCATGAGTGCCAGTCCTGATAAATAGCCCACTCTGTTTCATTAATATTTCCAGACTCGAATAGGTTAGAAGCAAATACATACCTGCAGTGAAAGGCATTAGTATTAGTCTCATAGCAGGAATGACCGAAGTCAGCTACTAAAACACTTCTCAAAGGATCAGAATCATGGTACTGAAAAAATAGCTGCCTACTCTTACATCCATAAAGCATTCTCAGTACCATCCAGCTCTTTCACCTGTTGAATCAGACCTGCTCCTTGCAGATACCAGCTTAATGTGAAGTGTCACCCCAGCTCCACACCTTTATGTGCAAAGACACAGAGCTGTTAATCCGAACTCTTGTTGTGAGAGTAATTACCTATCACTGTACACAGATCTCTCGAAAAATTGCACTGGGTGTTCTGCTTCATGTAGCTTGGCTGAGACAGGCTTTAATTGTGCTCTTACGCGGCTCAAGCAAGCGTAAGTCTGAAATGTATAGGCCCATCTGGTGGGTTTATCATACAGCATTTTAAGTAGATTTCCTCCGCTCTTCTGAGATGTTGAAAGCTCCTAGGGGAC